ATATAGTATAGTCGAAATAAGAAGGCAAAGTCCCCAATAAATAATGCACACTAAAGGCATATCGTTTTTCTCGTTCTTACAAACGGAAGATATCCTGTCTTTACTCTCTAAACACGCCTCCTCCACAGCTGCGTCGAGACCTGCACCTACGTTTCATAAGAATCAATCGAATAAAATGAGACGATCGACAACATGCTTGTCTTGTCATTTGTACCTACATAAAATGGGCAAATTTACAGGGTCGGCTTAATTTAGTTGGTGTATTTGTGCGAATAGTCATCTCTCTACGTATATCGTTGAAGTTATTTTTTCATTGTAACTATTGTTGTCGTTGTTTTTGTTGGTGTTATTGTTGTTATTGTTTTTATTGTTATTTTTGTATGACGATCGACAACATGCTTGTCTTGTCATTCGTACCTACATAAAATGGGCAAATTTACAGGGTCGGCTTAATTTAGTTGGTGTATTTGTGCGAATAGTCATCTCTCTACGTATATGGTTTAAGTTATTTTTTCATTGTAACTATTGTTGTCGTTGTTTTTGTTGGTGTTATTGTTGTTGTTATTGTTGTTATTGTTATTTTTGTATAACGATCGACAACATGCTTGTCTTGTCATTTGTACCAACATAAAATGGGCAAATTTACAGGGTCGGCTTAATTTAGTTGGTGTATTTGTGCGAATAGTCATCTCTCTACGTATATCGTTTAAGTTATTTTTTCCTTGTAACTATTGTTGTCTTTGTTTTTGTTGGTGTTATTGTTGTTTTTATTGTTATTTTTATTGTTAACTTTCAACGAAATGGTCCGAGAAGTTTTAAATTCTCAGAGTAGAAAACTTGTTTGGAATGTTATTAATTATTTTCAAAGAAAGAAAGAAACAAGTAGAGAAAACATCTCCGTTGGATTTTCTTATAAAAAAGACAATGGCAGAATTTTAGTAGACTCATTCAATCTGTTTTCATGTACAATCGAAATTATAGAAATATTATTGCATTGAATTATCTTAGATCTTACAATAACTTTTTCACCATACTGTAGCGCGACTACTACCTTAAGCCGATCCTGTAAATTTGCTCATTTAATGTAGGTACGACAACAAGTGAAGCACGTTTTCAACCGTCTCATTCTATTTGATTGATTCTTATGAAACGTAGGTGCAGGCCTCGCAGCAGCTGTGGAGGAGGCGTGTCTAGAGAATAAAGACAGGATATCTTCCATTTGTAAGAACGAGAAAAACGATATGCCTTTAGTGTGCATTATTTATTGATNCAAATGTGAAATCTGCAGGAAAAGCTTCACACGAAAAGTTTATTTAAATGTTCACATGAAAACCCATTCGAGTGAGAAACCGTTCAAATGCAGTATTTGCGAAACATGCTTCACTCACAAAAACACTTTAAATAATCACATGCAAACCCATTTAGGCATAAGGCGGTTCAAATGCGAAACCTGCAAAAAAAGCTTCACACAAAAGATACATTTACATGATCACATGAAAACCCATTCAGTCGATAAGCCCTACAAATGCAGTATCTGCGAAAAATGCTTTTCTCTGAAGAGCTATTTATATAAACACATGCGAACCCACATAGACAGTGAATCATTCAAATGTGATCATATAAATGGAACTACTAATGCTGTAGACGAAGACAAGGGATCTGTCGAACTGACTGAAATGATTAAACTCAAATATCAGAAAGTAACAAAAAGTTATCAGAAGATTAGCAAACGTTTAACTAACATCGGTGAGCCGTTAACAATAAAACCTGCCGAGCCTGTTGCAAAAAAGGAGGAAGAAGGAAGGTTTACCACTGCTTATGAACCATTTGTTGGTTATGAGCAAAAACCTATCGAATTAAGTGAAATTAGAGTACCTGTTTTTTATGAAAAGGAACCTATCGAATTTAGTGAAATTATTATACCTAAAGAAGAACCCAAGGATGAGTATTTTGAAAATGTCAAAAATTTCATCGTACCTTTTCCAGAAGTCCATGAAAACACTAAGGCATTTACCCTTAAAGAAGAACCTACAGAGTTCTAACAAATAAAACATGTAGCATTTCCAAATGATTATTTAGACTTAATAGAAAAGCAGATTTTTGCAAATATACTAGTGTTACTAGTCAACCAGCACATTATTAAATTTATTATATCTCAATTGCACTATTCTACGCAGGTATTGGTTTAGAATTAACCTGTTTTAAAAGTTGGTACAGCAGGCTTTGTATCGAATAATGTAAAATGTTTACAATAAATTGTAACCGAATATTGTTAAGAAATATCATTATAAAATTTCTACATTTTATTATTTGTGTTCTTTATTTTCTAAGGATAGTTTCTCTAAATTAACTTTCACTTTATAAGAACCATCATCCTCGTGTAGAGCTGCGGTTGAGGATGTAACGCTTACTATATTACGTAATTACGTTATAATTATCTAATTATTTCAAAACTGGACAGCACAGATCCATCATCATAAAGTTGTCAGTCCTAAGACTGGTTGGATATGCACCTCCACTCTTTCCTATCCTGAGCTAAACTTCGCATTTCCCTAAAACTAGAACAGCCCACATCCCTAACTATCTGCGAACAGTAATGTAATCTAGATCCACCTCTGCCCCTCCGAACTCCCGTTTCTGCCACTAATATGCCTCTAACTAGACCTTCATGCCTGAGAAGGTGTTCTACTAACTTATCTCGCCTATTTCTTGACTTCTATAGAGTCCTCTGTTCTCCTATTCTTTCTAATACCTCTTCATTACTAACCTTCTCTATCCACGGTATCCTCATCATCCGCCTGTAACACCACATTTCGAACACTTCTAACCATTACTTTTCCACCGCACCCATTGTCCATGTTTCGCACCAGTACCTCTCCGTGCTCCAAGCATACACATTTGACATCCTTTTTCGAATTTCCATAATTATCGTTCGCGATCATAGAAATGCCTTTTTTTATTGAAAGTGACTAGACCCTGCACTATCCTCTGATTTACATCCCTACTACTCCTTCCGTCCTGACTTATCTAAATTCCTAGATACCTAAAATTCTCCTAATTTTTCGAATCCTATCATATTCGCTCTTTCCCTACTTTTCTTCTCTATGTCTCTATATCCCTGTCATTTGTTTCTCCCACCGCCTTTAGTATTTCGTCTGTCCTTGTACCTAGCCTATCACGCTTTTGTTACATTTTAGCCCTAAGTCAAGACGTTCCCTACCTTTCCTCTTTTTCAGAATTTTCAATTTAAGATTGGACTTCATAACCATTAAGTTATTATCGCTATCTATATCTGCTCCTTGATAACTCCTAAAGTCCTTCACTTGATTTTTAAATCTTTGCCTAACAAGTATTTAATCTAACTGATATTGCCCTAATTCACCTGGCAACTTCCACGTATAGCACCTCTTAACGTAATGTTTGAATAAAGTATTTGCGACGGTTAAGTTATGTTTATCGCAAAATTCTATCGGTGGTAGGTTAGAGGAGAAGGTCCAAATATGAGCACTGGTCCAATTATGGGCTACTCCTGAAATCTCTTCATGTATGCACCCCCGTCTAGCGTCAACACCGCTAACTATTTCGTCTATAAGTATTCTAACGTTAGTGTGCCTTGCAGCCATATTTGTTCACGTGTTTATTTTTAAAAGTGGAAAAAGTTGTTTTTTTGCAACATTGTTCAGTGCAAATATTTATCAGGTATGTAAAAAATTGATTTTTACTTAATCGGTACATATTGAAATAGAATTTGAATTAACATGACGTCTAATTGAAGTACTAATTGTTGTGTTTTCATGGTATTTTGCTTACTTTTTAGGTTTTTAGAGTTTATGTTTTTATTTATTTGTCAAATTGCCGGTGGTCTAAATATGAGCTATAGTAATCGGTCTAAATATGAGCTATAGCTCATATTTAGACCAAAACTTTACGATCTGCTAAACTATATGTTTTTCATTTTAGAATGCCGAGAAAAACACCAAAATATGTTCCTCAAGGAAAAAGACAGTTTTGGAACCCGGAAGATATGGAAAAAGCTGTGACAGCGGTAAGAGAAAACAAAATGGGCACTTTAAAAGCGGCAAAGACTTTCCACGTACCTCGTAGCACAGTTCAACGGCTGTCTAAAAAGGAAAATCTATCTCCTGCTCAAGTAGCACGCTCAAAATTAGGTAGAAAAACGTTTCTGCCAGATAAAATGGAGGAAGAACAACCTGACACTGAAGATGCAGAGTGTCTATTTTGCAGCAGACTTTATTCTGAAGATACCCAAGGAGAGGTTTGGGTAAAGTGTTTTCAGTGTTTATTATGGGCACACAGTGAATGTGCAGGTGCAGAAAAAGAAGTCTACATATGCGATTTTTGTAAATAAATTTTTCCATGATTAAATTTGTCTTCAATAATTTAGTTTCTGAAAGATAAAATTTTAGAAATAAGCTAGCTCATATTTGGACCTTAAGTAATAATTTGGTAATTTTGTAGATTTCATTATGTGTAAAAAGTAAAAAAGCTGTTTTGTTTAATTTCATGTTAATCACATCAAATCAATAAAAATGTATCATTTTACAATATTTTTGGGATATAATGTAAAATATTATTTTTATTTTCCAAAATTTTTGAGAAAATAAAAGACGTAGCCCATATTTAGACCTTCTCCTCTAATAGCTGATCACGTATTAAGGAAAACGCGTTTAGTTTTCATATTTGGTGTTATCTGAAGATTACATTTAACGTATTCGGGATTTTACAGCCGCCCTGTGAGTTTACCAACCGGTCGTGTGGTGAATGAATATAAACAGGTTCATTTCCCTTTATTACATTGTTCACGTTAGCGTGTTATTATGGTTAAGGACAAATTCTAAATAATTACTTAGTGCGAAAACAGGGGAGAGCGGTTACATTGTGTCATACATCGTTATACAAATAAATTACAGAGGAAGAGAACAGAATAAACAAGGTAACTTAGCGATTGTCAAAATGTAAAAGGAAGGGGC